ACATGAGGTAGAAAAGTCCCACAAAAATTGGCCTCTACAGACGTGGTTCTGAGGTAAGAAAGAAAAGCTGATGCAGAAATACTTGGGGCTGCTAAGCACAACATCTGTTTTGATATAATTCTTTTTAGAATGGTCGTTCGCCTTTCCTTAAGAAGAAAAACGAAGAAGAACGAAGGATGATAATTTTTAAAAGATCTGCCTGCCTGCTTAACCATGTGCTCCAGGGAAGAGAGAAGGCTAGCTTTCCAGGGCATTGTCTAGCTAGGTTAGAGAAAGGATTAAGCCGATACATTCAGCTATTCTAACAGATTTCCTTTAAGCCTTCAATACCTCCTTCTCTCATTCACTTGGCTAATCACATTAGTTTTGTTGTTAAAAGACACCACCAACCCCTTTATGGCAGATACCTAAACCGCTTACACAACCCAAAGGGGTCGCATATATTAGGGAAACAAGACAAACGGAAGGGATTTGCCATTCTCCGCCTCAGTGTTTCTGTGCCCCCCCCTCCTTTATATGCTCTAGAGAAGGAACTAAAAGAGGATTTTTAAAATTATTATTTTGTTGGGGTGGGGGCGTTGTAAATAGACATGAGAAGTAGGGGGGAGCAACAGAAACTGGAATAGCTTTTGCCTTAAGATTGTAGGACTTTCAGAAGATTGAGGGGGGGGGAGTTGGGCGGTTTTGCAACACAAGCGGTGTTATACAATTGCGCCCCCCTTCGGATAACATCTGGAATAAATGTTTACAAGGTTTGTATTCACAAACCTGGAAATCTTTCCCCAGTACTTCTTGGGCAGGCCAGACAAGAAATTCACCAGAAATTCATCAGTTCTGGACACCACATTTTAAAGAAGGGTGCCAACAAATGAGAGCGTGTTCAGAGGCCTGCAATAAGGATGATCGGAGGCTGGAAACCAAGCCCTAAGAGGAAAATACTGAAAGAACTGGGCATGATTAGCCTTGAGAAAAGAAGACTGAGGAGAGATAACATGATAGCACTTTTGAAATACTAGAAAGGTAGCCCTACAGAGGAGGGGCAGGATCTGTTCTCCATCCTCACACAGTGCAGGACATGTAACAATGGACTCCAGTTACAGGAAGCCAGTTTTTAGTTGAATATCAGGAAAAACTTCTTAACTGTTAGAGCAGTAGGACAGTGGAACCAACCACCTGGTCAGCACTTCAACGCTGGAGGCATTCAAGAGAAAATTGGACAACTATCGATCAAAACTGCTTTAATTTGCATTCCTGTATTGAGCAAGGGACCGGACTCGATGGCCTTATAGGCGCCTTCCAACTATTCTACGATTCGATGTGCCCATTGAGAAAACCTGGTTGCAAACTGCATGCAGAAATTTGCACTGGTCTGGTTCCCCCCTTCTTACAACTAGGTCTACATGTGCTATTCAATGCTTGCCATACAGTTCTATGAATTTTTAAAGGTGATTAGTGGCTGTTGCAACTAGTTCAGGGGGTTAGGCATTGATTATCCTTCAGGGACACCCAGAGGTTGATTCCTACTGTGCCTCCTTGAAGTAAAACCAACTTGTGCAATCTTGGACAAGCTGCAAAGTCTCAGGATGCCCCAGAATAATTTATTATTTACTTATTTATTTAAAACATTTTAGTCCACCTTTCTCCTCAAAAAGAAGGCTTGCAACGAGTAAAAGACAGCCCTTAAGCTAAGAACAGTGAGTATACAATACTAAAAATCATGAGCAACACAAAAATTCTTTCAATGCATTACGGTACAATTCATTTAAATACCTCAACTCAGCAGCCAGACTCTCAGGGAGAGTTTGCCCGAAGAGCAAGGTCTTCACCTGCTTGCAGGACAGCAAAGCTGGACCAGCCTGGTCTCCAGTGGGAGGGAGTACCAGACTCTCAGGGAGAGTTTGCCTGAAGAGCAAGGTCTTCACCTGCTTGCAGAAGGACAGCAAAGCTGGACCAGCCTGGGCTCCAGTGGGAGGGAGTTCCAGAGTCTGGGAGCAGCCACAGAGAAGGCCCCTCTCCCGTGTCCCCACCAAATGCACCTGTGAAGGTGGTGGGGCTGAGAGAAAGGCCTCTCCTGATGATCTTAACTACTCAGGCAGGCTCATAAAGATAGATGCAATCCTTGAGATATCTTGGACCCAAGCTGTTTAAGGTCTTTATAGGTTGGAACCACCACTTTTAATTCCGTCCAGAACTGGATCGGCAGCCAGCGGAGCTGCTGTAACAGGTTATGTGATCCTTGTGTCCAGCCCCAGTTAGCAATCTGGCTGCTGTGTTTTGGACCTCCTTAAGTTTCCTGACATTTTCCATAGGTAGCCCCACACAGAGTGTGTTACAGTAATCCAGGAGAGACGTAACTAAGGCATATGTCACTGTAGCCAGAGAGAGACATAACTAAGGCATATGTCACTGTAGCCAGATCAGAAGGGAATGGTAAGACACTTCTGAGTACTCTGTATCTAAAAAATCCTGGGAAAGGCTCCCCTAAATTGGAATCAACCTAATAGCTTGAGTAATCTGTATCTAAAAAATCCTTGAAAATGCTCCCCTAAATTGGAATCAACCTAATAGCACAGAAGTTGCTGCAAAGCATGCCTACAACCACTAAAATTTAAATCACCATGAACTGCTAATGAAAAGCAGTGCTTGTAGAACTTTTTTCTAATAACTTCCCAGGTCTTAAAGCATTTAGTTGGGAGTCTGAGGCAATTCCCAGCTCCTTCAGATTTCCAGGAGGAGAATTAAATGTCAGAAATACCGGTGGCAACATATTTATTTTTGAATGGGGCGAGGTTTTAAATCTTGGGCTTCCATCTCTCTCTTTTTCCAGCTGGGGCCATGGCTCACCAGGACGGTGTTGACATCCCTGTTGCTCTTAATTAGCTCCCAGTTCTTGGCTGCCCTGCCTCTGTGACACCGTAAGGGCCACGGTTTCAGGTTTTTACCACACAATCTCTGGGAATGGGAGGCTGGGGGCCCTGGCAACTCAGGTCATGTAGCAAAATAATTTGGCTGGCTTCGTATGCATGGTGGCTGAGAAATACCATTTACTTCTCTGCCTCGGAAACCCAAATGTCCTGGTCCGGCCCAGCTGTGGAGATCAATCAGGATCCAGTGGAAACATGGAAAGGTTAATTCACATCCCACTCAGCAAGGCTGATCATGGTCTTTACATATGCCTGTTCTGAACATCAGGAACAGCTACAAGCCTCGAGTTATATAAAGAGAATAAACTACATAAAGGAGGCGGCTGTGCCCCCGTCATCCTCCCACCTCCTTTTTCTGAAGCTTTAAACCATTACATGTTTTAAAATCATGGGATATATAAAGCAAGCTGACATTCCTATTGTGTGAAAAGGTTCCTACTGGACAAACTGTAGACCAGCATCTAAAGCAGTGGTTCTTAACCACGCACATCTCATATCCCACCAATGACTCAAAAGAACCAGGGTCGCACCATGATACTGTATTTGCTGGCGTATAAGACTACTTTTTTGCTGTGAAAAACATGCCTCAAAGGGGGGGGGGTCGTCTTATATGCCAGGTACACTTCAGTTGGGATAGACATAGCTGCCCATAGTAGCCTTCCGAAGCTTGCCCGGTGCACATAGTGGCCTCCCGATGCCTGCCCACCTCATTCTACATCCCATCCAGTATCGCGCGGTATCCAGCACAGCCGCAGTGAGCATCAGCAGCGAGACAGGGGTGCCAGCCTTTTCGACGTGACCGGCCTATTCTGCTCAGTGGGAAGCAGCGGTGCTTCGGCCTGCCCCTTGTCTACACAGAGCTCACACATGCGCACTTGCTCACTAGTGCTGGTCACAGGGAGATGCAGGGGCAGGCCGGAGGCGCTGTGGGTGCCCTGCAGCCATACAATAGTGACAATGAATAGCACCTTTTATTTGGTGTGTGGAAGGTGTGCGGAAGAGGGGGTAGTCTTATACGGCGAGTATATAACAAATTCTATATTTTGAGTGGAAATGTTGGGGGGGTCGTCTTATACGCCCAGTCATCTTATACGCCGGCAAATACAGTACAAACCAAAAGCTCTTTGTACCGCCAAGAACACTTCTAGGTTTGCAGACAGTATTATTGTAATTATCATTTATTGTGAACTGGGGGGCAAAGGGAAGAGAGGATTAGAAATTTAAAAAACAGGTATAAAGCAGGTGACAAATCATACAACACTTTCAGATCTCCACATTTTGTGGAAGTAAACCCTATGAAAACAAACAATGATCTCAATCAGCTAATTATCATTACTTGCAATCAAGTCAAATCCAACTTACGATGACCTTTCGAAAGGCTTCCTAGACATACAGCCCACAGAAGCAGCTCATCACTCCCTTCTGGTAGCATCCTGGGATTGTCTAGCTCGTCTAAGAGAACGCAAGCTGATGGTTCTTCTACAATGCACCCTAGAGAACTGAACTTCTGACCTATGGCTCCAAAGCTAGCTGTTCCAACTCAAGAGTTATCCATGTATCCTTTTCATCCACTGCAGAAAGAAAGAGTTGCGCGTCATCCACATCTTGATGACATAAAGCTCCATATTGACCTCCCCCAGCAGTCTCATATAGATGTTGAATAGCAAAGGGGAGATTATCGAATTCCTTCAAATTAAAGGAAGCCAGATTTTGGTTGAATATCAGGAAAAACTTGCTGTTAGAGCAGCATGACAATGGAACCAGTGACCTCGGGAGTTGGTAAGTGCTCCGACACTGGAGGCATTCAAGAAAAACTTGGATAATCACCTTTTAAAAAGTTATAAATAACACACAGCACCATGTGCAAAATGACAACTATACAATGATTTTGTTCACTTACAAGTTCTTAACTCTGCTTCCAAATATTGTATTTGCTGTTTCATCACTATATTTTCTATTATGGCATCAAGTCTGAGTATACAGCACTGTAAAATCTAAACAGAATGGTGCTCTATATAGTATAATAATCAATAAAAGTACAATATAAATACCAAACAATGTTCAAATGAAAACAAGTATTTTTTAAGTTTTATTACAGCATTTTTGGTTCTTCCAAGTTCACAATGCATTTTTATTGCCATATGTATTTCAGTTTGAGTCTTCCATAAGAAAGGGTGACGTTGCACACATCTGTAAAGGGCCTTGAGGTATAAACTTTGAGCCTCAAATCTTTGCAGCTTTATTCTAAACAGGGAAATCTGAGACAAGGCATGGACTTGCTCATTTGCAACTAGCACATCTGCAGCTTTAAAATTGAGCTGCATGGATAAAATATTGCCCTTGTCAAAGGTTTGTCTTTACTCAACAAATCCCCCATGGTTGAAACAACAGATATGACTGATTTGCTTCCCATATACCTTTTGTTTTTAGTGAACTGCACAAAGGAAATAAATGAAGCCTATTAAACACACTTGGGAATCCAGTCTACAAGCTGGTCTTGTTCTCCTGGCAGAGTTCTAGTTATTTTTAAACTACTGCACTGACTGGTCTACTGAGAAACACAATAGAAGAAGGCAGAACACCATCCATTCACAGGTAACTGCTGAACATCTTGAGACTCTTCATCATCCCATGTAAATTGAGAGCAGAACACCTCCCAGTGTGCGTGCATGCACAAACACACACACCATAGCCCTGGGCCAGCAAATTGCACCAGCAGTAGCTGGGGACTCACTATCCTTTCAGGGGGAAAAATCTGTCAATAATGATTTAGCTCAGCAATTCCCAACACTGGGTCCCCAAGATTTTCTTGGACTACAAACTCCCAGAAATCATGGCCACACAGAGAGAGGTAAACTCCTAGCTGTTAGGTTAGGAACCCCAGATCTAGACGGAGGGGAGAACAGAGGAAGCTGCCTTATACTGAAGTAAGACCAGTAACCTAGCATTGTTAGTCCTAGCTGTAGTCCAAGAACTTCTGAGAACTCAAGGTTAGGAACCCCAGATCTAGACAGAGGGGAGAATAGAGGAAGCTGCCTTATATTGAAGTAAGACCAGTAACCTAGCATTGTTAATATTCACTGGCTCTTTGCCTAAACCTCCCTGGACCTCCTTGGCAGTAAACCATTCAGGTACTAAACTTAGCAGGTTCAACCCTGTTTAGCTTCCAACATCTGAGAAGAGCAGGCATGTCCAGGGCGGTGTGGTGGTTCAAGGAACTAAACTCTATCGGGAGATGGCTTACAGCAATGCAGTTTACTTGTGCACAAGGGTTTTCTACTGTGACTAGCAGAAACTCTCTAAAGTCAGAAACATCTCATCGTAATCTGATCCTGAATTCCTTTAATGGGAGGTACTCGGATCAAACCTAAGACCATCTGCATATAAAGAGGGTACTTCTTCATTGAACACATGTTCATCTACAGCCAGAGCGTTCAAGCATTGTTTTTTCTGATCTTTTGGACTTCATCTCAGGACACTCCAGCCTCCATGGTCAATGGCCAGGGACAGTGAACGTTTGTCTGCTCAGACCTCCGGGGTTAAAAAAAATATTTTGTGTTTCCTATGGAGGGTAGTACTCTGACTTGCAGCTGTACTTTGACATGGCACAGGCCTAAGCAAGTATGTCTTTGCCTTGATTAAAGTTTGTGTTTGCACACAAAACTAATTAACTGCAGGACTTGCACTTCTACTGAATTCAATGGTCTAAGCTTCTCTTTCTGCTCAGCCTGGTTCTATACAGAAGAGGAAGCCCTTGCAAAAAAAAATAGTTGACAGACTGTGAGTTCTTTAGGTAGTCAGGTGTTTCAGTTACCTACGAAGCAGAAAATGGCACCTCCATTGCCGAGACAATATTTATACCGCAGCTCCAAGAGGGAAAGAAAAGGGCTTCGGGGTTGCCTAATGATTATCTAATTTCCTAATAATTATCCTTCTTTTTCAGTAAACAGGCTAGAAGAGGACATTGACCGGAATAAGAAATCAGCAGTTTTGTTATGTAGCACAGTGGTTGAGAATTCATTTAGATAGTTTACCCAGACATTGACATCCTGGTTTTTTTTCTGGTTTTGGATCACTTCAGTAGAAACATTTCCTTCTCTTTGAAACTTTGCAGAAACCTTTTTTTTTCCAACAGTAGGTACACATCAATAACCCTCAGAGTTTCATGACAGACCCCGAAAATGCACCCACATTGCCAGTGGGGGATTTTCCCAGTGGGGGGATTCTCAAGGTTGTATTTGCTGGGGCAGTTAAATATGTGCCCGCCTACTATATCTATCTGAAGCAGTTCCTTCACAGCTGCTCTCCACCTTCCCCGTCACCTGAACAAACCTTGTGTGATACCAAGGAGCCTAAATGGGTAGTTTATTAGCCAAGTAATACATGTGTACCCCTACAAATGTCCATAACCCATATCAACCAGAGGTGGCAATCAGAATGGAAGGATCTTTTCTGTCTACCATACATCCACAGTTCATGGTAGGTGTCAAGAGGGCTGACTTTACAGTGGCAAAATGACATGTCCCCCTCTTGGTCCATGGAGTGCTGGTGCTTCAACCTCCAAATTGCAGCCATGCTGGGGTGTGTGTGCGTGTGCTCCCTCTGATACAATCTGGCTCCTAGTATAGATCTAGGATTGACCTAGGTCCACATCCTTTATAATTATGTCCTGCCAACTGCTCTTATGCCCTGTTTTGAGCTTCCTAAAGACAACATCTGCCTGCCACTCTTGACCCCTAGCAGTTGACATTTGGGGGAAGCCACCTCCAACAGAATAAATGTAGAGTTAGCTATTATGGCTTACAAGGAGGATAGGAAAACATCTACCTCTTATGTCATGGGACTCTAATTCCCATTAGCCCCAGCTGGCACAACCAGTGGTGAAGGATGATGGGATTTATAATCCAACAGAGGTTCTCCCCTCCCAACACCGAGGTTAAAGAAATTAATAGATCCAAGCCATGCTACCATCATAACTCTATGGCATCAAATCCCAAAAGTACTGTTAAATGCCCAGCTTCCCACACATGTGAGGCTGGGGGGTGGGGGGGAGGAACCTGCCTTTCCCTTCTTGTTTTCTCAGGAAAAAAAACATGATGCAGTCCCAAGCAGCTTGACCAGGAGTAATGGGCTGCATGCATCTTGAATGTGTTTGCAAGGATCCAGTAATGCAAGTCTCTCCACTCTCTGCACATGAGGTCTCCCACTTTGAAAGATCTCTTCATTAGAAACAGGAGGCTCAAACTGAGTGCTTAGAGTAAGAGAGGGAAAGAGGAGAAGAGAAATAAAGAATGATGGTGAAGAGAACCGAACTGATGATCGATTTTGTTCCTTGACATTGCTGGGAGAAAACGGTGAAGATGAAACCTAATTTTTTTCCCCCAGTTATCTGGCACACTTCTTCAGCCTTCTGTCCTGCTGTATCCATAGCCTCATGAAGTGAACTTCCAAGAGGCGAGCTTTCAGCACAGAATCCGGGTCAAAGGGACTGTTGGAGCGAAGGTCCAAGTGGTGAGCGCCTTCTGGGATGACAATAGCGACCAGAGTGTCAGTGATGTTCCTCATTACTCCACCCCCAGACCAGGGGTCAAGCCCACCATTGCTGGAAGGGAAAAGAGATCAGTAAGCACTACATCAACACAGTTGGAACATCCTGCATCATGACTAGAGATGGGGGTATTTGTATACTAATACGAATACCTTCCCACAGGTGCAGATCACTAGACCGACCAACTCACGATTCCGCTGCCAGCTCCGCAGAGCTTTCTATCACCCCATTGCTCGTGATGGATTAGCCAGTCCCGGCAGGAGGCAGGATGACGAGCCTCTCTGGCAGGCTGCAGAGTGGCTAATCCATCGCAAGCAACAGAGAGATAGGAAGGCTCCCCATCTCTACTCATGACCATGCCAGAGGCATGCCTCTTTGGGACCAATTCCAGAAAATTCTGCCAAAGGAAGGGTGGAGGGAGAGGCTCAGTCTTCATGCTGGTACCTTTACCATCAATCCGTTTGGAACATCTCACACCAGCTAATAGGGTTAGGTGAAACTTCCCCACCTTTAATTATAGTGTACCTTTCCATTAATTGGAACTCATCAGCTACTGTGAGAACCAATTTGGCTGAGAGGTGGGGCATTAAATTAAAACAAGATACCAGTTGTAATTCAACGTGAGTGGTGCTGTACATTGCTAAGAGGTCAAGCATGGACTCTTTGTATCACAGCAGCTCCAGATGCTCAGTAACTTCAGGATGGGCAAATTGGTCCATTTGTATCAGGCATCCGGGGTCAATTTCCTGCCCCCAGGACACTAATCATTTCAAATGAAACTAAGCAAAAGAAAAACATGAGTGAATCAATGAACCAACCAAACCAGAGAAAAGAACTAAAAGTGACCAGAGGTAAATGTCTGGTTTTCACAAAAGGATTTTTTTTAAATGATGCAATACTATACTCGATTTAGTGCAAGAACCAGTACTCCTGGAAGAAAGGAGGGTGAGTGGTTCTTTTCTTCTCACTGGGAAAAGGTCCTGAGGGCAAGAGATCAAATTGCAAGGCAACCAATGGCATAAGAACAACCTGGGCAGTCACATAAAAGCTCTTGATTCCCCACTCCTGCAGAGATTCTGATCATCTTGCAGAAAAGGTAACATTTGGTGAAGTAATCCATTACAGTGGTGCCTCGCTTAATGATTGCCTTGTTAAATGACGAAACCGCTATACGATGATTGTTTTGCGATCGCTTTTGCGATCGCAAAATGATGTTTTAATAGGCAAAATTTGCTTCCCGACAATTGGTTCCCTGTTTCAGAAACCGATTTTTCACTAGACGTTTTTAAAACAGCTGATCAGCAGCTTCAAAATGGCCACCCACTGTGTAAAATGGCTCCCCACTGTGTTTTTGGACGGATTCCTCGCTTTACAGGCACCGAAAATGGCTGCCCCTATGGAGGATCTTCGCTGGACGGTGAGTTATTCAGCCCATTGGAACGCATTGAACGGGTTTTCAAAGCGTTTCAATGGGATTTTTTATTTAGCTCTACAGCGATTTCGCTGGAATGGATTATCCTCGTTAAGCGAGGCACCACTGTACTACAGCAGCACTTCATGGTGAATGGCACAATGCCTTCAGGGAAGAGTTTTGAGCTACGCCTGAAAAACATACCCAAACTCTACCTGCTAGGGAAAAAGTGTATGTTTCGGCCAGGCCTCATGCACAATCCTTGACTTGCTCACCTGAAGATGATATTGCTGTGCGCACTGATGTTCTTTCCCCCATAGGAAATGGGGATCCAGGAAGGTCGAGGCCGCACCCCCCACATCTTGAAACACTCTTCGGAATAGGCATGGAAGTCCCACGCCTGAGGCTCAAACATGTCGTTGATGCCATCTGAGCACATGGGCATCACCATCTCTGTGCAAGACTTGAAGAGGACACAGAAAAATAAAAGAACAGTAGCTTCATTTCCCAAGCTCTTGGCTACGAACTACTCTAACCTGCACACAGACCCTTGACAAACCAGCACGCCAGTAGAAGGCAAGTGTCTAGGTCTGGTCACATTCTAGCTTTTCACAGTGCAGACCACATAGGTACAAGTCTAGCATTAAGCAGTGAAACTCTAAACTCTACAGCTGTCATGCGACGATGTGATGAACTTTACTTTGCTAATGGGAGCAAGAAATTCATTTTGTCTTTGCCGAGGGAAAGACAATGTTGTTTTATACAGGCTTACATTTTGGATATGTAACCACCAAATACAGAAGGCCTTGATTAGACAGCATTTCAAAGCCAGTCCTCAAGGAGATGTTCTAGAGTAAACTTTCCTAGCCAATAGCTCTGTGTTGGATTAAACTCTTCTCTGCAGCCAGCATGGAGACGGAAGAGGAATGTTTGAAGTGTCTGGAGTGCATTGGGTTGGAAAGGATCTCTGTAGTAGAAGCAGGCATTGAGGTGGCCAATTTTTCTCCTGCTTTCTCTGTTCAGGATTTCACCAATTCAGTCTAAAATCAGAGCCTGGTATAGTTTGGACTATAACTGCCAGTCTTTACACTGGTTGGAAGACTCTGGGACTTGCAGTGCAAAAAAGCAGCTGTCTCAAACTGAGAAATAGCTATGCACTTGTTGAATAATTTTAGACTAAGCATCTTGGGAGAGGAATCAGTCTTGTAATTTCTAAAACATCAATCTAGTGATCCTAAAGGTAAAGGTTCCCCTTGACATTTAGTCCAGTCGTGTCTGACTCTAGGGCGCAATGCTTATCCCCATGTTCAAGCCGTAGAGCCAGTGTTTGTCCATAGACATTTTCCATGGTCACGTGGCTGGCACGACTAGACATGGAACGATGTTACCTTCACACCGAGGTGGTACCTATTTATTGACTCGCATTTACATGCTTTCAAACTGCTAGGTTGGCAAGAGCTGGGACAAGCGACGGGAGCTCACTCAGCCGCCTGGATTCGATCTTAGAACAGCTGGTCTTCTGACCCTGCAGCACAGAGGCGTCTGCAGTTTAACCCACAGCGCCACCACGTCCCTACAGATGACCAATTAAATTTTATCACTGTTGTATCTGCTTCCTTAGCACCACATGGACTTGTAACTCTCTGTATCTGGTTTAACCCATTTATGGATGTTTCAGTAACTGAGAAAGTTGCCACACATGGTCACGTGGCTCCAGTATGGCCTGTTCTGAAGGACAGAAGCTCTCTGGGGTCTTTCACATCACCTGCAATCAGATCTTTTTCAATACAAAGTGCCAGGAACTAAACCATATGGCTATGTAGAACGATCTCCCAAAACAAATATCTGTTTTACCTCAGTGTCACAGAGAGGACAAGAAGATATTGCAGTGATAAAATTAATTGATGATGGCTTCGTATAGCATCATCAGTATCACAGAGGTGACCAGCGGTGTACACGTACCTGATAGTACCAGCCCTGAAGACCAAGGCTTTTAGTGGCAGACTGAGTTAAGTTAAAACATGAGGTATGTTCTGTGTAGTTGAAGTAGACGTTTACTGCCTGGAAGACATTTTGGAGCAGCAACTTGTCTGGCAGCTTGGGGTTTTTCAAGTATTTACAAACTACCTACAGAAAGACAGAAAAGAGCTGATTAAAAAATGAAAAGAGTAGAGAAAACAAAGCTCAGCAATACCGTGATTAAGCAGAAAAGGAAATGTGTTTTCCACACATCCAGAAACTGGCTCTGAAAGTGAGCGTTGAGCATAGACAACTGTCTCCCTCTCTTGGGAGTCATAATTATCAACAGATTTATTGATGAGGGGGATGCAGGAGAATGGCTTATTAAAAAAAACCCAGACAAAGACCTAGCTACATTATTTCAAATACAGAGAGAAAATAGTCCAAAGGGCACATTTATTTTAAAAATATTTTCTTACTACATACATAAGAGAATGTATACTTACTACTATTAACATTTTTAATGAAAAATGTTTTTAAAGAATAACTCTGTGGTTTAGGTATCTAACTGTAGAGCTACACGTTTTTCCGTTCCCCACTGTGTCTTCTTGACAAAGGCTGGATTTGATTATCCTAAAGCCTCTTTCAAGCTCTGCGGTTCTAAGATTATTATTATATTAAAATTAAGTTCTAAACAACTGCAGTCAATTGCAATAGAAGTCTGCAAATACAAATGTATGCCAGTAAGTTGCCATTTACATTTTTACATCAGACTTTGATAAGAGTGCCTAGCACAGAATTCATGCACAAAATTTAATCAGGGAAAGTATGAGGAATTTGATGCACAGATACATGATCACTGCTTATTTTTTAAAAAAGTGAGCAGGCATGCTCTAACCAATCGATGCAGGTAGCAAAGTCTTCTTCTGCAAAGAGACCAAGCTTGGAGGCATTCACGGTACTTAGGACAGCAAACAAAAGCTTGCTAGCAAGAGACCCATGCTTGTTGAGCTAGAGGATGATCAGACAGTGATAAAGGGTTGCATCCTATCACATTGGAAAGGGTCACTTAGCAGGGAGCGATCTCCCCTAAAAGTGTCCCTTCCAAGTGTACCAGAATTGCTTCAGTGAACCTACAAAAAAGAACAGCTCTACTACTGGATCAAAAAAGTCCAGCTTGGACACAGAGCACTGCTGGGCTAGTCTGCAGTCTCCTGTATGCTGACTGAGTGACAGGAAATCGCTCGCACGGCAGTGCAAAAGGCGAGCAATGCCTTCCTTTGATTGTGCCCCAAGTCAAAAGGACAACCACAAGCTGGACTTTCAGAGACAGCAACTCATCCTATTGGAAAGGAGAACTCTATAACTAATCTCCAAGTCCTGGTGGCTTTCAGTTAAGATATCATCACTTGGCAAGATGATTGTTAAGTTCACGCATTTCAAGACTTTGATATTGGAGTCCTCACATGATATACTGAGTCTAAACAAATAGTTCAGGGTCAAACAATAAGATACTGTTAGTCCATCATTAGAAGAAGGAAGTCCTTATCTGCTGGAAGCATCTGATTGTCAAAGCATGAACCTCCCACACTTCTCATTATTCACAAATTAGTATACTTTGTTTTGTGACTGGTCATAGAAGATAAACGTACTTTGCTCAATTGCTTTGATTGTTCAGCCACAAAGGACTGGCTGAATCATGCCTCTGAAACCCCAATGCATTTCAGATTCTAATAACAAGGTATCTGTAACACTGTTTGGTCATTCTGGATGGCTCCTGGTTCTAAAGAAGGCTCTTACTGCACCATAATGGCAGCTATATGGTCCCAGATATAGCAAGCAGATGGGCAGTAAAGAACAGTAATTGACATTACTCAAAAAGAGCCAGTGTGGTATGGTGGACAGTGTTGGGTCACAATTCAGGAAACCTGGGTTCAAATCTTGGCAAAGGAAAACCACTCCTTGAACATCTCTGAACCTTCAAAATCCTGTTCGGGTCACCCACTGTGGGATAGATCCTGAAGCTGAGGCTCCAATACTTTGGCCATCTCATGAGAAGAGACGACTCCCTGGAAAAGACCCTGATGTTGGGAAAATGTGAAGGCAAGAGGAGAAGGG